AGAAAAAAATCTGACGTCAAAGCTGCAGCTCATATTGCTATAAAAATGCTGCATTTGAAAAAGAAGCACTGAACACATGAAAAATCGAAAGTTGCATTGCAATTGGAAGTTTTATTTTCATTCATGAGGAATGTATTTCCAATTATGAACGACCTAATCATTGGAGAGAATAGTTTCGCGTAAAATTTCATTTCAAAATCAATATTCGTAAGCGTTTGTATTGTATTTGTGTCTAAATTATTTAAATTGCTATAAAAAAATCTAATATAACGTAATTAAATTTTATAAGAAAGGGCATCAATTTAATAATTAATTTGCTTCTCAAGACATACTCAACTACATTATACTGAAGCAAACAAAATCCCTTTTAATCTTGGGGGATCAGAAATTAAAAAAAAAAACAAATTACTATAATTTTTTATGGATACACCAAAAAAGTGTCAGCTGTTGTCTCCAAGATGATATATTAATTGTCTCTCCTAGAACTGTTGCTTAAGTATACGCTACAATCTATACCAATCTATTTTTAATTCCATGAAATACGTCATCTACGTTTCAAGTTATAATATACAACATTTGTTGTCAAAATGAAAATATTTTTGATATTCGAGAATTATGCCATTTAAATACATATGAATATATAAGAAGGTACCTAGGTACTTTACATAAATGTGCGTAAATACAAATATCATACGGTGGTACCTGTCACTGTGTATGAGTATTACATAAGTATATACTTGATGTGAATGTGCATAAGCACATAATGGAATATGTTAAATTACCTAAGTACTCGATGTAAATGTGTGTAAGCACACAAAGGAATATGTGCAAGTACGTAAGTACTGGATGTAAATGTGCGTAAGCACATAAAGGAATAAGCACAAGTACGTAGGTATTCGATGTAAATGTGCATAAGCACATTAAGGAATATGTGAAAGTACGTAAGTACTAGATGTAAATGTACGTAAGCACAGGAGTTGTATGGTAGTATGTAAGTACCTTTTTTCTGTGCGTAAGCGCATCTGTGTACATACTTGATGTAAGCGTGTGTAAGCGCATGTTACATTTTTAGAAAGAATGTCTTACTTGCTGTATGTGTGGTAAACATGTATGTATTATATAGTGCGGCTACCGTGCATAAGCAAGAAATTTTTATTCCTTTAAATAGCATGACATGAATATTTGAAAAAAAACATACTTCACTACATTTGCTACACAATTAAAGTTAACTTACATGTGTGCAATTTCAGAATTTTTTCAACATGTACAAACTAAAATACAATAAATTTACATTTCCTTCTTAAAAAATGAAAAAAGAAGGGAAAACATACTACATACATATATGATATATACATTTGTGTACATAACAAATCACCTCTAAGATCTTTCAACCTTAGACTTAGCTATCTGAGCATCTCTAATAATCTCTATTGGGGTTGGAATATATGTTGTGTAACAGTCGGATGACCATCTACCCAGGAAATTCAACAAATCATCCCCCAATCTTACTTTTGATCCTGTGATTGCTGCCCCTATTCCAAAAGAGTGACCATTGTAATTTTTACTTTATAATCCAAGTTTATCTAACATGATTTTTATCTTCTGGATAAAAACATTACGAGATAAAGCACTATTGTCACTTTGTATAAGTATATGGTTCCTTCTGTACGGCGATGATGCTTTTCATTTTTGAATATTTGGTCATGGCTTTCACTGGACATACAATAATTTGATTTGCAAAAATTGGAATGGAAACGCCATTTCTAAAAGGAACTGTCTTTGATCTTTTAAGTTCATTTGTGTAAATTTTTTTTACTATATCAACACAATTAACACAAAATTAATTACTATAAGTCGTTAACCAAAACGAATATTAATAAAGTCTTTAGTAAAGATAAAAACCAAACACGTTACTATAGGTCTGCACAACATTTAAGATAAGGGCAATCCCTGTTTGAACACAATATATTTGCAAGTGAATAGATGTAATTTTGTGTCCTTTCTAAACTTCCAAATGAAAAATGAGGTACTAATTAACAGATAACTTTTTTTTATTAGAATAAGCTTGGACTTGGACTGATTTTGATCGTCTTGCTTTTAGTCTGTCATATTTATGACACGGAGGCACATAGAGGCAGAGGAGAACCGAGTCTGGGGAATGTGAACCTTGAAAGAGAAGGCTTCTGGCCATCTGACCAATTACTGGAGAAATTGAAAGCCATTTCTGGAGCGAATGAATTTTGGGTGGTGGAAAAGATTAGAGAAAGAGAAACCCGAAGGATAGGAACCATGGGAGTCTGGTAGAAATTTTTCAAAAAGGACCGTTCTATAACTCGATTTTATTGGTAGAATTGAACTTTTTGTCTGTAAAGAATCAAATCAGTTATATTCATTTGTGTAAATTAACCTAATGAAATTTTCATTTTTTTCAATGATGAATAAAGCATTTAAAATCACTAAAATACGTTGATATATTTTCTGGAAGATTTAACAAACATACAGTCATGTACACAATAGAAGACAACAGAATTTTTGTAAAATCACAAGGTTGTGGAGTCAAAATAATTTTTTGAGTGATGATTACAGTGTGAATGTGTTGATTTGTTCTAAATTTGAAATGAATGTTTTAATGAGATCATTAATTCGTCGGTCTCTTCCTGTGACGAAAACAAAGAATATTGAATTCCATGAAAATCAAAGACTATACAGTATTCCCGAAACATTGATAGCGCGACCGCCTGAAATATGTGTGTGTAAAATGGTAAAAAATGGAAAAAAAAAACTTATACCCCAGACTTATGATAGACACAGATTTATAATTTTTGGTCCGAATTAAGGTAAAAAATGCTTCTAAAGTAAAAAAAAAAACATTTCAAGCTTAACGTTCCTTTATGTTTTCCTATTAATCTACTGTACATCTGTACATATTATGATTTTATAGGCTATCAACAGACTGGTAAGCATAAGCATTGAACTGAATAAATATGTGTAGAGTCACTACTTATAGATCCTCCATGCCCTTTCATTTTCACATTTCATTTTGGCGAAGATCAAAATAGTCAGAATGGATAATGTTTCGGATTTAAATCTCGTTTAATAAAAAAACAGACAAGTTATCTAAAGTTATTTGACATAAATCTTTTTTTTTTAAGAAATACAAGTATTTGTTAACAACTAGATAATAGAGCTATGATAATATTAATATGTAAAAGTAACCACATGAAAACCGAATTTCTTATTTAAATTTCCTTTTTTTTCTATTTTAACTGTGCGTGATTCAACGGAATTTTTTCATAAGTAAACAGAACAATAGTCTTATTTCAAAATATAATTTGGGCAATCTAAAAAAAAAATATGTTTGTTTGTCCTCTCTCTGACTGCCTAAAAATACTTCGATGCTAAACCCGTTTAAATCTCAATGAAACGATATATTTTTCCTTTTCTGATTATGTAGTGAAAATACATTAATTATTTGAAAATCATCTCCTCTGCACCTGAGTATTACTAGTAATCTGATGATCTAAGTACATAGTTAAGATAAGGAAAGGGAAGGGTATTTCATCCAAAATGATGCATTTTTGGCCCCCTTGTTAGTGGTACCCTGAGGGAAGCTCAAAAAATGAATGGATGCTTTGAAATCTGATTCTTGGTATTAAACAACCAGTTTTTTTTAAATTTTTTTACTCAACCTTTTACGCAACGGTGCTTTTTCGAAAACTGTTGAATAATTTTTTTTTCCAAAATCTCATTCATGAGCTCAGTGGTTCCTGTGGGGTTATCCAGAAAAATTCAGAATCGTAATCTAAAAATAAAATGTACCTAATCTGTATTTTTTTTGGCTATAATTATTCTATTTTGTTTACAGAAAATAACTAATAGTGGACATGCATTTTGTATTTGTTCCTGTGATCGGAATCTGTGTATTAAGTATTAAGTGAACATACTTACTGTATAGTTGTGATACGCAATGACGCTTCTTTCAAAATTTTGAATTTCATGGTCTCTAGTTTAAAACACAAACCAAAGGATGTATTCGCTTTCACAAAAGAATTGACCTATAGGAGAGAACAATTTCACGGAAAAAGTTACACTTTCATGATTATTAAATCCATGAATTTATCTTATTTATCTTTGCCACAAATATTATTATCTACTACATTTTTAATTCTTAATTTTTTGAAAGAAGAAAAAGCTATTTTCTCTTAATCCATCAGAAAAGCTAGTTCAGGTTACTTGACTTAGGGCTTGTAAGAATCCTGAGAAATCCATTAGAGATCTCCGAATAAAGGAGTGCAATAAGTGCCTATCGGAATTTCAACAATTTGCATTTGTTGGCGGACCTGATTGCCAAAAACTACAGAAATGTCAAAGTGGTTCTCCAGCATCTTTTCAGTTTCAACGTAAGATTACTTTTGAGAGTATATCACCAACATATAGTTTATACGTCTCCCAATTATGAGGAGCATACTTTGAGTACCATCAGAAGTTGCTGACACGAAAAAGATCCCTCGCTGTTCAATGGTCCTCAAGTCTAAAGCAGCTCTTTTAATATAAATATGTTTCACTCATCAATAAGCAAACTATTATATTTATAGAGTAGAAAGAACTGATCTAGAATATCTGCAGGATCCTAAAAAAATCCTCCTTAAAAGGAGCGGGGAGGTTAAAATTCCGGACCCATTCTGAATGCACCAATAAGAATTGTACCGAGGGAATCACTTCGACTTTTGCATGCCATTGGTAATATGAGAAACTAAATGGTTAAAGGCTTTATAATAAGCGTTACTTAAAATATTTACTGTATTAATTCTATACTGAAATATTGCACAAATTCTTATATGTATTCATTATTTGTTAAAGGTGTCCATTAGAAAACCAAATGAGTAAACGCCCATTATTATAACTATCTTTACAGTGATATTTAAATTGATTCGTTTTTATTGGTGCATAGGAACTTTTGATCGGGCATATATAAGCAAAAATACTGCACCCAATAAGCATTTTAATATCCTGCATTTGAAAAAGAGACACTGAAAGGACAGTAAAATAACACAGGGAAAATGGTAAGTTGCGTTGCATTTTTATTTTCTTCACGAGGGATGTTTTTCCAATTTTGAAAGACCCATTTGAAAGAAAAATTTCCCGATAAATCGCATTTCAAAATCAATATTCGTTAGCGTTTTTACTGTATTTTTGTCTAAATTATTCAAATTTCTGTAAAAAAAAAATATAGAAACGAATATAACATAATTTAATTTCAGGGCATCAATTAAGGAAGGCCCATACTTTTACGGATCCGGTTTTAATTTTACACATCAATATAAAATTCTGATTATCACTTGTCTAATGAAATAAAATATGTTTGGGTGGTTTATTTATTTACTTTTTGAAATTATTTAGTTTATCGTTGTTAAATGCATATTGTAAATATTTTTCATTATTTGAACTCTATAGTGGAAATTTTCTAATATTTGTGTAAATGGCAAAATAATCATTTAGGCTAAATTATAAATCTTACGGATTACAACATACGTAAGTGGTACAACGTACTTATGACCCTATCTTAACTAGCAAGATTGATGCTATCAAATCAAGGCTGCTATTGGTCGGAACTTATCAGCTCAGTCTGAATTAAATTAAACTTATGTTCACAAAACGTCTTTAAAATTCAATTACTAAACCTTTTAAAAATAATTTATTATATATTGAAAACCAATTTCTAATTAAAATCAAAGCTTATTATGAGGTACAAAAAAGATAATTTGAGTTTTCTCCCATATTTTAAAGACTGTATGAAAGCAATAATTACGAGAGTTGTCCCAGAAAAACACAAACATTTTGAATATTAACAAAATACCTTACCAGAATTATTATGCTTATTATTATTATTTTTTTTTTTTTGATTTCGACAAAATTGTGAGAGGTTGTAATTTCATATTTCATTATAAAGCAGAATTGAAAGGGTGTTATATATCGGTGGTCGGCGCACTGAAATTTTTTGACTTTTCATGATTAGCATTACCAGCTAAGTTTTTCCCACCAAGCTCAACAGAAATATAATCTGACAAAAGCTTCATCCCAATAGAACCTCAATGATCTAAATTTAGTATTTTTGTGTTAAAAATTTAACTTTGTCAACAAAAATAACACAAATATAAGTTGTTAACTGGAACGAACATTGATAGTTTTTTTTAGTAAAGACTAAAACCAATCCCTTTCCTATAAATCTGCACCACATTTAAATATCCTTGTTTGAACAAAATTATATTTTCAAGTGAATAGACTAAGTTTTGTATTCTTTCTTAACTTCCGAATAAAAATAAGGCACTGATTAAATGATTTTTTTAGGATAAGCGTGGACTTGGACTGCTTTTGATCGTCTTGCTTTTAGTCTGTCATATTAATGACACGGAGGCACAAGGTCAATCGTGGGAACCAAACAGAGGCAAAAGAGAACTGCGCCAAGAGAAGGACCTTGAAAGAGAAGGCTTCAAGCTACTGGAGAAATTGAAGGCCATTTCAGGAGAGAATAACTTTGGGGTAGCAGAAAGAAAGGAAAGGAAAATCATGAGGGGCACCTGGTAGAAATTTGTGAAAAAGAACCTCTCTGCAGCTGTTATTTGATTTTATTTTTAAAATTATGGAATTTTTTTGTCTGTAAAGAATCAACTCAGTTATACAATGTATTTTCCCAATGATACGTAAAGCATTTTAAATCACCAAAATACGTCAATATTTTTTCTTGAAAGTTTTCAAACATACAGTCATGTTCACAATAGATGACAACAGAATTATTGTAAAATCACATTTTCATGGAGACAATATTATTTTTGTGAGTGATGAAAACATTTTAGATCATGGAGTTATGATTTCATGTCTGATCACTCTCGTTGATTTGTTTTATATCTGAATTGAATGTTTCAATGAGATAATTATTTCGCTGAATCTCTTCCTATCTTGAAAACAAAGAATATGAAGAATTCCACGAAAATCAAAGACTTTACAGTACTAGTGTTCCTGAAACATTGATGGCACAAGCGCTTGTAATATGTGTGTCAAAAGTAAAATTCTTTAATATATCCACGACTTATAATAGGCACAGATTTATATATTTTGTTATAATTAAGGAAAAAAAATTGCAAAGTAAAATGCTTTTCAAACGTAACGTATCTTCAAGTTTTCCTGATCAACTGTTACAAAACGAAATGTACAGTACATATTATGATTAAAGCTATCAACGGATATACAATTCTTGAACTGAATAAATTTGTTGCACAGTCGATTCTTTTAGATGTCTGACTTTTTATTTTAACAATTCGTTTTGGTGAAGATCAAAATACTCAAAATCTGTTGTGTCTAGGATTTAAATCGCTTTTAAGAAAATACAAATTATTCAAAGTTTAATTTGATATAAGTTTTTAAAAAATATTTCTTAACGAATAAATAATACACCTATGATAATATTAATTAAACATTTCCCACATGAAAACCGAAATTCTAATCTAAAAATACTTTTAATTTTTTACTGTGTGTGATTCGACTTATTTTTTCACAAGTTCGGGAGTTGTTCGAAAAGTACGAAGACAGATGCGATAAAATCATTACTGTGAAGTTTATGCTTACAAAATTTTTCAGGTACGTTAAACAACAAAAGTTAGAAAAATGTTGAAAATTTTAGCTTGATACCTTTAATATTTTCTAAATTATCATAAAATGAAAAGACATTATTTGTTCACCCGGCGCAGTCAACATTTCATTGCATGACGTCATTGTTTCTCAATGTCCACAATCTCTACCTCATACATCGATCTTGATGAGATTCCTTGGAGTTAAGTAAAGATACAAACTCGTCTTATTAATATAATTTGAAAATGTCATAAATAGATGATTTCAATAAATATGATATTGTAAATAGATCTTTACATGGTGACAGATTCTAACTAATTATAACAGCTTATTTGCTTGTCCACGTTCCATATCTATTACTCATGATCAACGTCACTTTTCTATGTGACAAACTTTGAACACCCAATTACAAATGGACATTTACTTTTACATTTCACGTCTTTCTATTTTTTTCCCTATAAAAACAAGTACTTTGAATGCATTTTATTATTCAATGGCCCATTTAAATATATTTCCTAGGTCTATGCTAGTTTTTCCAGGGGTTGAAACTTTATAGCATGTTGAAAAAAAAATACCAATCCATTTCTGACGTCATTACAACTCATAAATTGTTTGGACATATGTTAAATTTACTATGAAATTCCATAGAACATAGAGAATGGGCTAAAAGTATGTTCGGTATATTTTTAAACAGGCTAAAATTGCAAAATGAGTATAAATATTATATTGTTAAGACCACATTTTGGCCCCCTGAAAAATCAACATCTTTAGAATGATAAATACTAGATATGTCCAATTGATATTTATTTTTAAAAGAGATTATATTAAAAATATTTCCAATATATTTTTCACATTTACATGCACCCACTGGCTGTAAATTACACGAGAAGTAATGGTATATTTGCTATCTAACAAAAGCCAAAAATATGCCTCTTTCTTGGTGTTTTTTTTTTTATATAAACAAAGAAAGATGTAGAACATAATCATTTTTCTTCAAAAAAGTATTGGATAGATACATCTTTGGTAAAAATATAAAGCTTGTTCTAGGCTGCACTCTATATTTTCAGGAAGAAAAACTGCTTGAAAATAAGCAGTTTTATACAAAATATGCAAAAATGGCGGGAAAATGTGAACTTTATGATGTCGTATTCCTAAAATGAAGGCATTTTGATCAAATTTGAAAATAACCAATAGAGGTGGCATGTATAGCTGTACAAATTAAAGCTATAAGTAAAGTAAAATTAAGATATTCATTTTAAGGGGGCATTTGATACGCTTATCATATATTACTCTTTACGATATAATATTGTCCTGTCAATATGTCTGCTGACATTTTCTTGAGAAAAAAGAAATTGCCACCTACAGTGTACATACCGACCATATTTCCTTTACTCTAAGTCGAGAGAGGGCAAATAATCATTATTTTGATGATGACCTTGACAATTTGTTGTCCAGATGTCACATAATTAATTTTGTAAAAGAAAAAAGTAAAAGAAAATTGGGTTGGTAGGTTAGTGGGAATATTTTAAAAAAAAAATTCAACAAACATATTGACAGAATTAAAAAATCAAGAAATAAAAAAAAAGATGTTTCTTTGAGGTTAAACAGATTTTATATCGGGGCATTTTTGACAAACAAACGTTTAACATTTTTTTAAAGATGGCTCAACTTAAACAATAATTTGAAATTCAATCATTGTTGTGTTTACTCATAAAAAAGTGCGTTGAATCACTGAAAGAAAAAATAAATTGCACTTTTAAATAGAATTTCGGTTTCTATGTGGGAAATGTTTATATAATAATTTCATAGCTGTAGCAACACTTTTGAAATACATTTACAGCTCCATAGATTACTATCACGTTTCAGAATTATTCATGCAGCAATGTATTTCCAAAGCATATTAATTTGTAGGGCTTCTCAGATGTTTAAATATATGTAATTTTGGTTTTAGCAATGCATATTTAACTAGTTTTAAATGATTCAAAACTGTGTAATATCCTTTTGATATACATTGCATGAATAATTCTGAAAAGGTGATAGTAATCTATGGAGCTGTAAAGACGAAAGTGGGTTTCACTGCTTTAAACGGATTCCTGAGATAAAAGATAGATCAAAATGTTCACAGCTCCATAAATTACTTTCACGTTTTCAGAATTATTTAAACCTTTTAACATCTGAGAAGCCCTACATATTATTGAACCTAAACTTTTTTGGCTTTTCTGCACTCAATAAAAAGTAGGTATTTGTTCCGTTGAAAATATCAGTGGAAAATGATTCATTTTAATGCATAATATGAAAAAGCATATGAAAAAGCAAAATGGTGAAAAAATTGTGTGATTTTTATACCATATTGTGCATTTTCTAATACCCGATTTGGTATATTTTTGTAAAGCTATATTACAAAGCTAACATATTCTGAAATTTGTTTTCATCTGCAAACCGTTACTGCGTATGATTTGTCCATATTTGTTATTTTATTAAATAAACTTAACTGTCTCATATTTCCAAATCTATTTCATTTTCCAAGATTCATCCAAAAATGTGCAGTACGGGGAGAGCAAGGGGGAATGTACAAGAACACAAATTGAGTGTGTGGTAAATTAAGATGAAAAATAGGAGAACCTATCAAGGTCAATGACGGAGCACTGCTGACAACAGAAAAAGAACAAGAAGAGATTGGCTGAAGACTTCCGCGAAGTACTTAATTGACCATCACCTGCTGAAATAGTTTCATACCCTAAGCTACAAAGGATCTGAACATCGACGAAACTATCTGGCCCACTAACTAAGGAGAAGATAATAGATGCCAGGGCGTGACAAATTTGATGCAGAGCTATTTTAAACAGACCCTATAATGGCAGCCGCCATCCTCCAACTACTGTTCACAGCTGTGTGAGATAGAGAAAAGGTACATGATTACTGGTGTAAAGGGGTGATTGTCAAGATCCCAAAGAAAGGAGCCCTGAGGATTGCAACAACTGGTGGGGAATAACTCTATTGTCTGCGCCAAGCAAGATATTCAATAGACCTTACTAAAAAATTATTCCATATTTCAGATTTCAATATTGTTTGTAGTAATTATAGTACGCACAGATATTTTAAAAAACATCACCAGAGGAGAGGGTGTTTCAAGTCCCACATGTAAAACTGTTAATATGGGTATCCTAGTATCTTCGTCGGAATTGACCTCTCCTCTCTTGAGGATGATAACCTAAGAAGGAGTTTCTTTGCTTGTGGTAATTCCAGTCCTTCCGAGGTACCCGGGTGTTCCTTCCTGGGGCTTTGGAGACTGTTACAGTCCTAGAGTTAGAGGAGCTCTGCTGCATAGAGCCCGAATGCCTGCGGTAATCCTCTAATTGCTTTGTGTTTTCATTGTGTAGATTGAGGATGTCTGTGTCCAACTGTTTTCTGATAGAGGTACTTTCCTTTGTAGCAAAACCTAAACGCTTAATGTTCTCAGCCCTAATTCTGTTGGCCTCATTTTCCTTAAATTGGTTTGCAAGGAAGTCTATAACTTTCTGCGAGACTCTTTTTTGGATGGCGTCGCTCAGTTCTTTCCATAAACTTCTGAATTTCTGCTCCTCCTGCTTATAACGTAGGTTGAGGAAACACTTCGTGTTTACATTATACCAATTAAGAAGGGTAATTCCCGGTCCTGTTTCCCTGAATTAGACTTTCAAGCTTTTTAGAAAGTTCGAGTCGTTCTTTAAGAGTTTTAGAGATTTCAGACAATCCATTTTCTGTAGCTCTATTGTAGGTAGCATTTGCGTCCGGTAAACGGATTGTTAAATCCAAATCATCTATCTGTGAGAAGGCTTCTTGGTTTGACGGTATCTCGAAATCATCATCCTTGAGGTTAGTTTTTCTGCTTTTTTTTTTTTTAGAGAAGGTCAACTAAGTCTTTGTAGCATTACGTGTAAAGTGTTATAGTTGTGCAGACTTTAACTATATAACTTTGAGATGTAAATTTAGGTTTCACTCCTAAAATTGTAACAAATCAATCGAATTCAGTGATTCGGGCGGATTAAAAATACTATGTAGTATGGATTTTATTTAATATCTTTAATTTCAAAATGTATGGACCATGCAGTCTAATACTTGTATATTATAACTATTCAGACGTTTTTAATAACATTGATATTATTAAGGAAGCCACATCTTTGTTGTTTTGTATGCAATATTCTTTATATTATAATCTCTAATTATTTTAGAACTTGTGTTTTTTTTTTTTTACTTTTTACCCATTTGACCAACAACATGGTCACTCATTGGTTGGTTGTATTAGCTTCAGATTGACTGAAAGGAGGCGTGGCTATTCGCTTCTGCGCGCTTCTTCCATCTTGACATTGCTGTTTTTAGCCAGTGCGAGTAAGCACGGCAGGATTAATTTTTGTGCCACTTATTTGTTTGCTTTGCAAATTATATACGGAAATTTTATTATCAATTGCTTAAATGCCTTATAGACTATTAATACGCTCAGACGATTATACACGTGGTGGTATTATTATTCACTCGGCACTTACTGGTTTACCCTCTATTTATACGCTCAGACGTATAATAGACGTGGTGCTTTATTATATTATCAGCAACATCATTTTATCCTCTGAGATAATTAATTCAATCTATAACCATTACTGTCAGAAGTTTCTAACAA